AAATACATTGGTGTAAACTGCGTAACATGCATGAACTTGGAGGACATTATGCTGAGTGAAATAAGTCAGTCACAGAAGGACAAATTAGTTTATTGTAAAAAGTCAAGGAAAGGTTTATATATGGAAGGAAACTTTGTTAGTTATGGGGGGAGGGGGAAGGAACACTGCAAAAATAAAAATTAATTTTAAAAAATTGATCTTATCTTTGATTCCTTTCCACAGCAAACATCAACCTGACTTACTCATTCATTAAATGTCTAAACACCTATCATGTACAAAGTCCCATGCTAGGTACTAGGGGCCATATAATGCCTACATTCAAGTGCTAAAGACTCATATTGGAGTTAATAGGCTAAGCACTGTTATCTAAATTTGCCTGTGCTTCTGGTATGATGAATAATCAGGCTATGGTGCACAGTACAAGCTTATCTTCCTCTTTTGGATGAACCTGGCACACTCTTCATCCCTAAGCCATATAAAGCGTAACACTAGGAATGAGATACCACTGCCGTATGGTTTGCCCTCTAAAGCTGCCAATGGCTCCATTCATCTAAGTCTTCCTCTTTGGCTTCTTCCCTCCACCTCATAACTGTTGAAAATTTTATAAACAATTTTTAAGGAGTAAAATAATCTGGAAAATATTTTTTCAGCTTTTATTTCAATAAAGCAAGAGGCGATGTTAGCGGTATAAAGTACTACATGTGAAGAACATTTACACGAACATACAAAACTTCAAAAACAAAACTCCAGTTTATTTCCATAGCCTTAAAAAGGTAGGGAACACATAAAAATATCCAAAGTCATAGTTGAAGAATGTAAACCCTAGGAATACAATTATAAACAAGCATATTTACTATGTAAAGATTAGTATCACTACATGATAAGAAGTAAAGATGAGTGATACACAATAAACTCCACATAAGAGAAAGCAACAGTATGTCAATAAGATCTTGAGTTTAGCAATAAAAGCTTCATAATAAGACACAGGTACCCTAGATCTCTACCAGAAAAACACATAAAAAATCCTCCAAAATGTTCACTGCTAGTCTCTTTAGATATGTACAAGTTACAAAGTATAGGAGACAACATATTTATGTTCTCTAATGAACAATTTACCAATATTAAACACAAATGTGGATAACTCAATGTACTGACTATAATTTTACTAAACAACAAATCTGAAAGTATAATTCATGCTAAGTAAAGGATTAGAGAGTTTTTGTTTTTCATCTAAAGATTGGGAAGCCCCTGTAATACATTAATTTCTATCTATAATGTTTAATTTAAGTAACTACCATTAGATGGTGGTTTTCTCATTAGACGTTTTTTCAATTCATCATTTAACACATATATTTCCTTTGATGTGCTGACTTTTAATAAAGTATAGATTTATTGTGCCTATAGATTCAAATGTTAAACTGCTTCATTTAAAATATTCAAAATTATGTCTTAGAGTACATTTTTTCCTCTATAATTTAAATTCAGCAGTTTTAACATTTTAATCTTATTCTTCCAAAATAAGCAAAATCCCTTAAAACTGGGATTATTTTGATCTATTTTGGCTTAAACAATACATTTCCCTTTAATTCAACTTTTTTTTCCTAATGAGTAATATTTGCTGAACAGTTGCCTCATTCATGAAAATGGCAATGAAATACTGCTTCTCCGCAATAAACTTCAGTTATCCTTGAAAGACTGCAACTTTCTACTTTCTAGTCTATGCACCTGACTTTGAAAGTTCCAGGGTGGCGAGCAAGGAACTCCAGGGGGCTTTCCTGTGGCTTCAGGGAGAAAAGGAAGACACTTGCCCTGCATACTCTGAGACTCCCTGGAGAAGTCTAGTTTGTTTCTCTCCCCACTTGGATTCCAAAAGGTAAGTGCTAGGATCCAGCTTCACTGAACACCCCAGGCAGTTTGATGTTTCCAGAATGAGAGGATACATAATTTACAGAATCCCTAGACATTTAAAATGTGCAATGGAGCTGCAATTTCTACTCAGATCCTCTGAGCTACAGGATTAAAGACCACAGTTTTGTGTGGAATCCTCTCCTGGTAAAAAGTATATTGGATACATATGAGGTCTGTGACCTAACTGTCATACCAGCATCCTCCTAGGAAAGTGACCAACGAAAGCCTTCCAAATTTTCAAATTTGAGAAGGTGAGTGAGAAAAGAGTAGTATGAATAATAATAATTTCTTACCATACTGAGTATTATCCAATATTTATAACTACTACAAAATTTTCAAATAGTATCAAAGTTTCTATAAAATAACTTCATTGTTAACATAACTTCACACTCCAGATAAATTGGTGCAAGTTATTTGGAGCAAAAACTCAAAACCACTCCACTGAGTAAGCTTTCAGAGATTTTTTTAAAAAAAGAAAGAATATACACATGCATACTGGTTGTGCATTGTATAAAAGGGTCGTAGCTCTTTCATCGGAAGGAAGACTGGGCGATCTACTTCCGTAAAGATACTGCCTCAGAAACCCAAGGAGGGATTGCTATGAGTCGGAACTGACTCAATAGCAATGAGAGCTCCTTCATACTTGAAACTGCAGGCATCTATAGATGTGATTCCATTTATGGATAACAAGATAAATATAAAATGTTACATTTTTATTGCAAAAATGAGTAAGAAACATTAAAATTCAGAACTGGAGGACTTAAGAAGTAATGTGCCAATGTTATGAAAAGTTAATTAGCTGTCAAAAACTACAAAGACTGTAACGATCTAGTACCTAACTAACATGATCTAGGGCTGTGAGACCACCAAGAATTCTAAACAAGTGATTTGTATGCATTCTGATAGTCTCTTGATTGGTGCTTCTCAAACTCTAATGTGCACAAAAGTCACCTGGAGACTTTGCTACCACGCAGATTCTGATTCTGTAGGTTTGGGTAGCACTGAAATTCTCCATTTGTAACAAGCTGCCAGGTGATGCCAATGCTACATACTAGCCCTGGGGTCACCTGGAGTAGCAAGGGTCTAGAATAATACCACAATGAAGTTCCATTATGTGGTTGAACATGAAAATATGAGCTCTCGTTTGTGCCATCGGAGAATAAGTTACCCAAACTTATTTTAAAACATTTCCTAAGCAACTCGCTTAAAATACCAATCTTTTAAATTAGTTCTTAATAATGTCAATACTGTTAGTAACTATGCCTAGAGAAAGATCTTTGTTAAAGGATTAAAAAAGACAAGGAATTCACAATGACATTTTACAAATATTTACAATTGTACACAAGACTAATAATATCAACTTTCACTTTCTTGTTGTGTTATATTTTTTGGCCATAATTTAGGCTATTCTATTACTGAAATTAAAAATATCAAATTTATTTATATCAAAAACCATACTGCATTCAGGACTAATGAATGAAAACTGGTTCATGCCTTTTGAAGTATTAGATTTAAACTTATGGCTAAAGCAGTGATGGTCAAAACTGCATCCATAGTGTAAATGCTTAGACACCTTCAAGACATATAAATTTTTCATATATCTGAGCTTGTCACAAGCAGGAAGAAGAAAAAACACTAGTATCTTCTCTTTGTGTGCCACAGCTAGGGGCTATGGATAAAGACACCACTGTATATTAATACATATGTATATTAATAGTAAAAGAGCCCAAGAAAGGAGTGCACAGCTCCCAGGCCTTCCTCCCCATCCAGCTTACTCTTATCCTTAGCACTGCTGTGTCTCTCTCTGACTCCAAATTACTACTTAAACAGCTTTGATTTACAGGGAATCTCAGTCATAGCTGAAATGACCACCACCAGCAAACACCAACCTTTTTGCATCAATGTAGAGGTCTATACCATCATACAAGCAAGCTGGTGTTTACTTCTCAACTGGGGGAAGGTAACTAAATTTATTATCCCTTCTACATCATAATAAGAACATTTAAGATAGGCCTGTCACAAAACAACAAACATACTTTTTTCCTTATACTTTGTAAGTTTAAATTTAATAACACAAATGACCCTAATTAAATGCCTCTTGTCCACATTTCACTATTCTTAATTTTCATAGATGGAAAAATAATATCTTTCATTTGCAGACAAGCAGTTCAGTCTTACATGGTTGGTGTTGGCATCTTGAGAGCTGTGCTGCAAGATTTACAATGACTTCCAAGAAGTCTTCATTGATATGTGCTTTGAATCATACGAATCCAAAGTAATTAGGCTTCCCAAAGTCTAGGGGCAGGATAAATCAGCTTTATGGCCTATTATGCCTTAGGAGTATAAGAGACTTTCATCTGATAAACCGAAGCAAAACACTTCCAAACAACACCTGTACCAGCAATCTGACTTCTGATTTAAAAACATCCAAAAGATAACAACAGAAATCTCCCATCTGTCCCCTGGAATCATATACCATTCATCTCCTCAAATAATGTAATATTGCATTTTTCTGCTGCTTTGAATAAACTGTTCTAATCTTAAAGATGATCTTGTTACAAACATTTTTATCAGAGATTTCACACACCATTTTTGTTTTTCATAAGCCTGTTTATCACACGGGCTTGCTAACCGGCCAGCTGTAGAGTTTCCGGGACTCCCCATTTGCCTCACTCTCTGTAAAACAGCTCCCAAACTTGGACGTTCTCTTCCCACTCTGAAGGTCAAACATGCAGCTACCAAAATAGGAGTTCTTAAAACAAAAAAAAAATCTCAAAGCCTCACATATGATGTCGCCAACCTGACCAAATAAACTACCAAAATTTATCGGTACACTGGCAATCTCAGGGCAAAGATAAAAAGAAAAGAAAGAAAAGGACTCAAACCAAGTGGAAAAAACATGATCAAGAAATAAAACCATATTTCAACATACTGCAACCTAGACATTATTCCCTTCACAAGGTCAAGGTAGCCTTCAGAATTTAGACATGAGCATTCCTCTCAGGAATAGGCATGAAAGACCTACGGCACTTTCATACGAAACAAAGGAGTATTTCCAGATTAACTGGTTAGTGAGAAAAATGCATTAGAAATTAATCTGTTGACAGAGTAATGCTGATACTAGGAGGTCTCTGCTGACCTGACTGATGCTTCGTTGGCAGTTCAGTTCTTTCAGAAATGTAAATAAGCTTTTCCTCTTGGAGACTACAGGCAGAAAACCTATTGGCGTCTGTCCCAGTCCCACAGCCAACAGCAGGTGATGGGTTATGTGGGCCTGGGACACCACTGACCTGTTCAAAGGATTTACTAAACACAGTAGCAGCGGTCTTTGCCAAACCATGGCTACTAGGCTTAGGCAGGGATTGGCTGGTTGTTAAAGTCAGTCTCTTCAAAGAGAGCAGCTCAAGATTCTCACTTTGAGCTCTCTGAGTTTGTTTTCGAGCAAAGTGATCTTTGCAAGATTCCCCTGTGGTTTCTTTTTCTTTTCCTCCAGTTTTGCTTCCTCCTGACCGTCTCTGGTTCTTTCCTACATTTGTCTTGTTACTAGAATTATGACTACTGTTTGATAAACCCGACTGGCTGGTACTAGACGCAGCCCTGGAATAAAATCCCTCGTCAACTTCAGATATGTCCATCAGTTCTTCTTGACCTGTTAAATCTGTATTTCCTAAACAAAGAAATAACAAAGATTAATTAACATTAAGTATTTCAAACAAGAAAACATCCTTTTCTTAATGACTGACATCAAATCAATTGTACCTTAAATGAATTTAATTTTAGTATAATTTCATAAGGAAACAGATTATAACAGAACAAAATCAAAGGATAAATCAAAACATTTGTTCTATAAAATCTTAAAATAGTCCATTGTGATTAAATGACAGTAATTTAGAATATATTAAATTAAAAGCATGCCATAAGTCACACCACACTGCTTTTAGAAAGAATTCTATTATTCATGCAAAAAATCAGAAACAATTAGAAAAAACATCACACAGTAAACCAGGAGTACACTCTCCCTCAGTAGCAAAGCAATATGAAAATCGAAGTTCTTACCAAGGGACTTTTTTTTTTTTTAAGTGATATTAGAATATTTTAAACACTTTAAAAAAATAAGGTTATACTCTATATTATTTTATGAAGTTTTTTTTAAAAAAACTAGACTATAAATATCTCAGGCTCTAAGTTATTAAAATTCTAGATATACAGTATCGTTCATATCAAAGATTTTAAAAAATATAAAGATGCAAAAATCATTTTAGATCTCAAAACATAAGCAGAAAAGTTTTGGAATTTATTCAGAGACAATATCTGTATGACCATTCCAAAGAGCATTAACAGTCATTGAGAAATTGTGGTGCATAATTCATGCATTTTGATTATTAGGTGACATGCAAAGTTGTTGAGACTGTGCAACTGTTGCTTAAACATGCAGCAGTGGCCCTTTGCCATGAGATACCTTGGAGTGCAGTTATAAAGTGCTCTGCTAAAACTGCACTCTGCCAGGTGAGTTTATTCCATCCTCCAGGATTTTTCTTACAGATTTCTGCCTCCTGATCTCTGGCAAGCCTTTGCTCTCAGTTCTAGGATCTGTGGCTGTTTCCTGCACACCCTGTATATGCTGAGCATCAATCTCTCCTAGTGTTCTGCCTTTTTCCCCATTCCCGGTTCTCTCTCCGGCCACACTTGTGACACTAATCTCAGGAATAACAAGGTTGCCCAATTCAGTAGTATCATTATTGTTGTCAGGTTGCTCTAGAATTGAAGATGATAAGACAAAATGATGGCTGAAAACAAAACAAAATAAAAATGCGAAACAAGAAAAACAAGACTCAAAATAAAATTGGATGACTGGATGTTATGAATTAAGTCAAATATTTGCACTGTAAAAAATTCCACAATTTACAATACTCTGACAACACTGGAGACAACAGAGTTATGTTCTTTAATTTTAAATGACAAAGAAAAAATTCACAGAGCATCACTTTATGGTCTGGATTTTCTCACACACACATTTGACATGGAATATGAAACAGAAATATTTCTGTAAATCCAAATAGAATTTCTATTCTTTTTAAGATAGCACTATGACCACTTGAACTTACATTAAGCCTTAGGGAAATGCTCAAGGATGGACAGCCAAAAAACTCTAGCTCTTGTCAACATTAACAACTACTCCATTTAGGAATTCCCCTTTGTACACGTAAAATTCTATTTTTTAAAATAGATTACATTGAGGCTGACCTAATAAACCATGCTATTTTGAAAAATAGTTATTAATTTATGATATCATGGTCAGTAATGTCACAGGTTTAATCTTTGTCTCACATCAATTATCTCTAGTATTAGTAAATATTAATGTGGTTATCATATAATTAAGCAGTTTATTCCTTCACACTTATTTAATTCTATTGATATAAGCCAGCTTGTAACAGTTTATTACAACACTGGAGAAAATTTTAAATGGATTTTTTAAAACACTCTACAAAGCAAATTTGGAAAAACAAATTAGCTGTCAATCTTTTATTCTGCAAACACTGTAACAGAGATAAAGGAATGAAACTCCTTAACTAGTTAATAATCTTAGACATGATTTTATTCAGTATCCTATGTCAAAAAGGCATGATTTTATTTAAGGGTACCGAGAAAATATCAGTGGCAAATGGAGAAATAAAACCATGACTATTTCTAGAATGCACTAGTAATGAAACTTAATGTCAAAACAACATGAGACTATAAAGCAAGGTATACTCTTCAAAAACAAATGTAAACCACAAATCTGCTGGAGGGGCATAACCAGGGCTTCAAACCCATTAATCCTGGTTTGACCCTCTGCTGAGAATTTGCATTTCTACCCGAGATATACTGACTCAGAATGTACACTTTCACAAGATCCCCAGGCTTTATTTTTTTTTAACTTGTGGTGAAAACATACACAATAAGACATTCATCAACATAACTTCTACATTTATAGCTCAGGGACATTGATGACATTTTTCATGTTGTGCCACCACTATTGCTGTCCTTTTCTGAAATATTCTACTACCATTAGCATAAGCTCAATGCCCTATAAACAAAAGCTTTCCCTTTCCCCCTCCCTCCTATCCCTGATAACCACTAATAATCTCTGATATATACACATATCATTTAGGAATTTAGGACCACCTGTGGTCAGCTGAACAAAATAGGGATGCATGCCCTAATTTATGGCATAGAAGCATACCCCAACAACAATGATCTGAACATTTCTTCGTGTGTTTGTTGGCTTAATATCTTCTTTGGTCAAGAGTCTATTCATGCCTTCTGCCCATTTTTTAACTGGACTGTTTGTCTTTTTAATGTTGAGGCATTGATGTTTTCTATAAATTTTAATGATAAGTCCTTTGTCAGATATGTCATTGCCAAATATATTTTCCCATTCTGTAGGTTCTCTTTTTACTCTTTTGGAGAAGTCCTTTGATGCACATAAGAATTTAATCATTAGAAGGTCTTAATCATCTAGTTTATCTTCTGCTGTTTGTGTATTTTGGGGTATGCTTCTATGCCATAAATTAGGGCATGCGTCCCTATTTTTTTCTTTGAAGAACTTTATAGTTTTAGGCTTCATATTTAAGTCTTTGATTCATGGGAGTTACTTTTTGTGTAAGGTGTGAAGTATATATTTTGTTTCATTTTTCTGCAAATGGATATATGTGTTTTGCCCACACCATTTGTTAAAGAGACTATCTCTTCCCCATTTAATGGATTTTGGCCCTTTGTCAAAGATCAGCTGACCACAGGTGGATGAGATCCCCAGGTGATTCTTACGTATATGCATACAATAATACCAGAAAGGTACACACTTACTAGAACAATCAACCGCAAGAGAGCAAAAGGGCGGTGTTTGCCCAGGCATAAAGCTAACAAGGCAGGAAGGAATAGGGAAAGAGGAAAAGGGAAATGGTAAACACAGGGAGGAAGTGCGAAGAGTGCTGTTACATGGTGGAGATTTTAATGAATGTCACAAAACAAAAAGAGTATGAATTGTTGAAAGGAAAACAAATCTGTGCTGTAAACTTACACCCAAATCACAATTAAAAAAAGAAAACCCTATTGAGCAGTTCTACCATTCATAAAGGAGCTCTGGTAGCATAGTGCCTAAGGCACTTGACTGCTAACCAGAAGGCTGAGGGCTCAAACCCACCAGCCACTCCTTGGAAGGAAGGTCGGGCAATCTACTCCTGTAGTGATACTGCCTCGGAAACCCGAGGAGGGGTCGCTATGAGTCAGGTCTGACTCTATGGCATATAACAACAACCACCACCATTCATAAATGGAGTCACCAGGACTAGGGATTGACTTGAGGGCAACCCACAACAACATACACTGGTGTAAAATAAAAGCACTTTGAAAATAGTTTTTAAGAATGTCATAAGTTTATGTCTTTTGACCTCATAATTTTCTCTCTAGAAATGTACTCTGTGGTTTTAGTAAAAATTCAAAGGTACATATGTATAAATATTTTTGTTTCAGCGTTTTAAAAAAGCTTTTTGTTACAGAAAAATTTATGCCAATATAAAAGCAAAGAGAATTCATAGTAAATCTGCATGCGCCCATTTAAAAAAATTAACTCATGGAAAAATATAAAACAGAATTCAAAATCATAAAAAAGAACAGAATTACTGATCTGACAGTTGGAGCCCCCAAGACTGTGGCCCTTAGACAACCTTTAAAGCAGGAACTGAACACACTCCCCAGAAGCCACTTTTCAGCTATAACGTGAACAATAATGCCTGTGATGAACATCCTCCTCAGAAAAGTCAACCATACAAGGCCAAATCAGCAACATTTGCCCCAAAACTAAGTTCAGAAGGCAGGAAGGGTCACAAAAGCAGGATGAAGAGAAATGGGGAAGGAAAGAGAAATGGGAGGAAAGGGGAAGAGAGGTGTCATATTGAGGGGATTGCAACTAATGTTATGAAACAAAACCTATATAAATTGTTGAGTGGGAAATTAATCTCCTCTGTAAACTTTCACTCAAACCACAATAAAATGATTTGTTAAACTGTAGATTCTAATTAGTGTACCTGGGATGGAAATGCAAATTCTGAACAGGATGTTGAACCAGAATGAACCAGTTGGAAGCTCACATAACCCATTATTTTCAAGTACTTTCAGTGATAGCATTAGCAAACTGTCACTAATGGTGCTAACACCTGTGAAACAATACCAGGTTGGTCAAAGAAGAGAGCCCTCACACATACACCCTATTCCTGTGATTCCCAAACTTTGCTGAATATCTGTATCACCTGGAGGTCTTTAAAACTACTAATGCCTGGCTTTCCCCACCCCACCCCCCATTCAGATTTAATTAGTTGAGACAAGACATGGGCATCAAGACTTTTAAAAGCTCCCAGTGGACTAATGTGCAGCAAAGTCTGGGAACCACTGTTACATTCTGATTCTTTAAAATTCTGAAAACTTAAAACAGAAGTTTTTATGGATGCCCTAGATGGTCTATACCCACCAGCATTATGTGCTTCTGGCGGGTCCTCTTCTCAGAGCTCCATGTTGTCCTGGGCTGGGGTGCCAATGTGCTGGTATAATAATTTCCCCTTAATTTAGTGCTTCAAAAACTTTTGACTAAGGGTTCTCTAAATAAAATTTCTATTTCCTAGACATGCCTAA